TTCTTATCAGCTGGATGCTTCACTCTCCACTCTAGTCCTGTGTGGCTATATCACTGACTCTGGGCCCAAGAGTCCCCAGGTCTTGCCACACTGCTGGCCAATCACGTTTCCACCTGGGTTCACAGGAGTCTACTAAAGCTTGTAGAGCTTAGCTCGCCGCTTCATTGGTGTTTTTCCCTCACTTCCCCTTATTGGTGATGAACGTGGTCACCAGTTAGAGCGTGTATTCCCATTGAGTCTTAGGACTAGGGTATTTCTTAATTAGAATGATATCACTGAGTATCTGGTAAATAAAGAATTGAAAAGAGACAAAATCCCCCAATAAGGTACCAGACAGTGAACTATAATAGCACAGGAAGTCCCTCACTTACAACATAGTTGAGTTACAACAAAGTCCACCTACATCCATCAGTTTTCTTTTTTCTTTTTACATCTTATCGTTAATAATATGTACTGTATATAACGGAGTCTTGGTGTGGCACTGTGGGTTAATGCGCTGGACTGCAAGGTCACTTTGAACCACAAGGTTGGTGTTTCAAGCTAACCAGCCACTCCTCAAAAACCCTACACATGCTGAAGATTGGGGTGGGGAGATAGTTAAGGAGCAGGCTTGCAGGGTATACCCTTTGGTTGGTTGATGATGCATGGAGGGGATTGTAACCATGGCAATGATACGATAGAATGAATGTAAAACTAATGTTCTCCCATGTAAACTATCATATGATTCAAAATAAAACACTAAAAAAAAAACCTATACAAAGTCACTGTGGGTTGGAACTGACTGGACAGCACATAACAACAATACTGCATCCAATATTGCAGCTTATAATTTGCTGATGTCATACTATCAATAAGTTTATATGTACTGTTTCCAACCCTCAAAGACAAATAAAGATCAGGTTTATAAACATTCTGAGAAAAAAGATTACCATAATAGATTGATTCTGAGGTCTGGAAATGTAAAGGTAGATATTTTGTAGCAAAGGTAGGGGAGGGATTAACTTTGCAGCCTAGGAGCAGAGGTCCCTGGAACCATCAAGGGAGAAGAGTGGAGAACAGAACCCTACTCAGGGAAGCAGTGACGCCAGAGATGGAGGCAGAGACACTGCTGCGGAGAAATCGAACGGCTGGGGACTTTGGACCCGGAGAGGGAAAGGTCCTGTGTGCTGATGAGGGGGGTGGGTGGGGGGCGGGCAGGCTTGTAGGGTATACCTTGTAGTTGGTGGATAATGCATAGAAGGGATTGTATCCCTGGCAAGGAAACATGATATACTATGGGATCAATGTGAAGTTAATATTCTCGCATGTAAACTGTCACATAACTCAAAGCATCCTATATGTTTAAAAACAAACAAAAAAACGATTTCCTAACTACCATTGCTTTTGTTTCTAACTTTTGCATTTCAATTACCAATAATTATCAATGCATTTTGGAAAAAAAAAAAAAAAAAAGGTTACCATAATAATAGCTGGGGGAAAAAAAAAAGAAGAGGTATTTGACTTACATTCATACTGACTTTATGATGACATCATTGGAACAGAACCTCATTGTAAGTTGGGATCTACCTGTACAAGGTAAAACCAATGACATGAGGTGCCATCTGATGAAGTACCAGAGTAGGAAAAACATCTGGTTTCATACGTTTTCATATGGTCAGTATTACCAAGTATCTGATGGCTGATTGCTGTGGTGGAAGAAGAAAGCTATATACTAAGTAACAGGAGAACTACAGCCACTAGAAGGATTGCTGATGCTGAATATTTAAAGTAAGTCTTGGAAAGTAAGGGAAATTGACAAAGCCAAAATGAAAAAAATGGACAGTTTGCATCTTAACTAGATTAAATGGGTAAAAGATGGTGTGGGATCCAAGGTTCTAAGATCTTACACCTGGAAGATTCACCTGCTGCTTTATGAGAAGATTGCCCACTCCTCAATCTGAAATATCCTGAAGGAAGTGATGGCTCTCAAATCCTGGTGTGACTTGTCACTAAGAGTCATCCTACTTTCACATGAACCCAGATGTATTTACAGGACTTGGGACCGGTAGTTTTTCTAACAATATATAATCCTCAGTTGTGTTGAGATGTAGGAATAATATGGGAAAGTGTCAGGTGAGCCCACTTGGCAAAAAAGTATTCACAAGACCAATTCTTTGAATCTCTTACTTGCATTGAGCATGATGCTGTTCCTCTGATCTTATCAGCTTCAAAATAAATTAGAAAAACAACAACAGTTGGTCTTTGTTCACCTGCAGCAACAGAGGAAGAAAGAGAGTCAGGATTAGGAGGCTATGGACAACTGCTTCTTTTGCCATGAAACCTGGAGAACTTGATGGTATCTGGGTACTGTTATTGATTCCATGGAAGAATCCTGACCAAAACGGGGAAAATTCGATACAGAATTTCGAATTCTCATGGCCTCTGGACTTTCTGAAATTATTGCCCTGAGATAATCTGTAAACCTTAAATCAAAAATATCCTTTGAATGCATCTTAGAACAATTATTTAACTTAACTGGACTCCTGGTGTGGTGCTATAGGTTCAGCACTGGACTGCGAACTACAAGTTTGGTGGTTTGAGCCCACCAGCTACTCCTTGGAAACCCTATACAGGGTTGCTATGAGTCAGATTCAATTCGATGACATTTACCAACAACAACAATAAAAAATCTCTGCCTTTAACAATGTACTCTTTTTAAGAACTTTTGATAACATGTTCTCAAAAGGTTAGATAGGCACTTTAGGAAACAGGGAGTTTATGTTAATGAGGGAGGAGCAAGTCAGAAAGGGAGGGTGAGAATGATTACACAACTCGAAGAATATAATCTTTATCATTAATGGTACGTGGAGCAACTGTTGAATTGGTGTGTATGTTTTGCTGTGTATGTTCTCAACAACAACAAAATAAATAATACTTAGGAAAAATAAATGAGACCAGGCTTACACTTGGATTCATATGCAGATATTTTTGGTTTCTGACTTGAGTCTGCTGAATTATAAGTTTCTAGGACTGTAAAATGAAGCAAACTAACATATTTATGGCTCTTTCCTTAGGATACAATCACCAACAGATGAGCGAAGGACAAAGGCAGAAATCTTCAGAATTTTACAACCGCACTGCATCTGAATCAAATGTCTACTTGAATAGTTTCCACTATCCAGATCACAGCTACAAGGATCAGGCCTTTGATTCTTTGAGCCTGGACAGCTCTGACAGCATGGAGACCAGCATTTCTGCCTGCTCCCCTGACAATATCTCTAGGTAAGATGTGTTCAAGGTTAAGGTTTATGGTGTAGAAAAGCACTTGCTGGTTTCAAAAACTGAAACCATCAAATTGAAACAGTGTATGTGTACAACCCACTTTGTCCAGACTCAGAATCTGCAATATAGGAAAAAAACTGAATGCCATGTGACTTTGAAAGTAGTTTGTATCCTGAGTGGTATGACCCAGCCATTCAGACAGCATAGTGTCCATTTCTTCCCCTTTGCTCTATTTCATTACAACAAGCCCCATTTAGAGTTCACTCCTAAACTGATTTGCCTCTGTTGACTTCAATTTTTATTTTCACTAGTTTGGGTCAAACAAAGGAATGATTTTTAACAATAGACTCAGAACCTTGCTGGAATTTTTACCCTTGTGTTTTATTAAAAAGAAGGTTTTAACTGTTCTGCATATTAAAGTTTTTGTGAGAATTCTACCACTAATTTGTGCTCATACTTTGAGAGTAGCAAAGGCCATCATATAGAATTAGGGGCAAAGGTACATCAAAAATGCAGATCTAGTCATGGAACTTCTCTTCATTAAAAGCTTAAATGATGCCCCATTTCACCTTCTGAATAAAGTCAGACTCCAGATCCTGTCATTCTAGATCCAGTTTAGCTCTCAATTCATTCTGTCTTCCTGACACACCTCACAAAACTTCCTGTTGTTTGAAAGGGTGATCAGCTCTCAGAAATCTGTGGTTTAGGTTCCTTGGAATCAGGTATTCTGTTCATTCACTTATTCTTTCATGTGCTCAGTCACCATCTAGTTCTTTGGGTCTGAGAGTCATGAAAACTGATGTTCATATGTTCCATTAGTAAATTGGACTAATTCTCATCACTCTTGTACAACTCCACACATGAAAAGATCAACAGCTGCACCTTGGATAGCTGCTCATGAGCTTTTAAGAGCCCAGATGTAGAACATTGTCTTTGTCGACTGTGGTATGTCAAGTGACCATAGTGTCACCTGAGAGAGTCATCATTCTTGGCAAATTATTTCATGCAGTCATTTTGCTGTTACTCCACACAGAACTGACCCAGTGGAGCTAGCAATCACTAGTACAGAAACCAGTCAGCACAGTCAAAAATTATGAATAGTGCTTATTTGATTGTGCTGTCAGATCACAAAAAAAGAGAAGAAGCCACATAGAAAGATCTAGTGTAAAAGAGAGAGAAAGGAAGAGACAGTTCTCCTTTTTGGAATGGTTATTCAGAAAAAAAAAAAAAAAAAAATCAAGCTATTCTAAAACAAGTTCGCACCCATCTTGAAGGTGTGACGTAATGTGGTAAAACATTAGGAAAACAGGTAATGAGGCACTAATGTTTAGAATGTCATGGGAAAATATCCTCAATTATTTGAGAATTAGTAGAAAGAGGAATAATTTTTTTAACCTGAAATTATGAATGTATTAAAAGAGGTTAACTCCGCACTTAATTTCTAGAGATAAAGTCCTGTGGTTTATATTATGTCATAAAAATTCATTTGTAGAATTATGGAATTACTCAGAGTTGTGGGTAAATTTGCCCTTTTCCTTGAGACATCAATTTTGTGACTACCAGAAATTATGTGACTCAGGCAAGGTTTTTAGCTTTATCAGCATCATTGCTTTCACTGTAAATAAACATACAGCTTAGAAGAACAGGTCTTGAGTTCTAGAAAATAGGCGATGAGCTTTCATTCTAAACTGAATTACACTAAAGTTTAATTCTGTGTTGGCTTTTAAAATGGGCTACACTGAATACCTGCAACAATAGATTCTTATTACTATTACTAGGGTTGAGTTATTGTGCCCTGACTTTGTGCCTACACTTTGAGAAAATATTGTTGGGTGTTTTCTGCAATCATTACTGAAGCAGATCACCAGGTATTTCTCCTGCAGAGCAACTAATCTGCTTCAAACTGCTAATCTTTTGGTTAGCATCTGAGACCTTAATGCTACCAGGGCTCCTTGAAAACAAAAATACTAAGGGTGTTGGTTTTTCCTTATAACTTAAATATCAACAGTTGGTGGGGGTGGAAGGCAGTTAATGTGAAGTGGAGCAAACTATGACTGAACTTGCATTTAAGAGCACTTTAACCAGAATTCCAGGTGTTTCTAATGACTTTGGAGCGCTGGTGTGGCACTGTAGGATAAGCACCAGCTGCTCCTAAGAAACCCTATACAAGGTCACTGTGAGTCAAAACCTACTTGACTGCAATTAACAACAACTAATTACTTTATTTTAGACAGAAGTTTATATTCTGCTTTCTAACATAGATAGTCAAAACCAGTGTATGGCTTTTATTCTAGGGAGTTCTTTTCAGAAGTTACAACAAGTCAAAATGATTTCAGAGGTGACAGCCAATTGTCGAAAGGACCAGATGCTGAAAATGTGAAAATGATTGAAGATGTGGTAGAGAGAAGGCTCACATTCTTCTAATACTCAAAGAGCTATGAAGTAAAGAAAGATTACATTAATATTGTTAGTAGTTAATAGTTTGAGCTGAAAACAAGAAACCTTCAAAAGAGCAAATTCATTTAAAATAAATATTCTAGGTCAGTGACTTTTTTCACTGGGTCTTGGTACACTGAAGGCCATTTTGGAAAAAGCTTCTGTGTCTTTGGAGAATTTTGTGTTGCATCACGTTCTGTTTTGTTTTGTTTTGTGTGCTTCTTCTATGAAAATATTCTTTGTTTTCTGTTCTTCCTCTCTTGGTTTTGCCTCTCCCCCAAAATGAACTGTTTAAAAAAAACTTGACTTTTAAAACGGTGTTTTCCATTGCAAATTTAAATTTTGCTCTTATTACTCAGGACTGAAGATCTATGATTTAGATTCCCTTTACCCTTGTTGAAAGTTTCATTTTCCTTTATGAGGACGTTGCTTAGTTATAAAAGAAAGTTGATGAAATACAAGAACGTGAGAGAAGTAGAAATGTGGTCAAAACTAGACATCTTTATAGCACTCATAGCCAGCAGTATTCTTACAGCAATCATGTAAGAAGTCAAACTGCCCTGTTGGAGAAGGTCCTGAAGTTGGAGAAATGGTGGAAATATTATTCCTGATCTGGATGGACTTGGGACAATCATGATAAACATCCTGTGTTATAATTAATGCATATAATGCTTATCTTTGGTGACTTCAGGCTTCCCATACATGGGAGGTGCTAGACCAAGTGGTATTTCATTCGTTGACATCTTTACATGCCATGCTGTTGACAAGCCTAAATACCTCTGCCTACATTCTTACTGCAGTTGCACATGCTTTTCAATGCAGATGCAGTTCCAACAGCAAAAAAAAAAAGATCAAATGGTGACAGTCTTGTTGAGTAAAAGTAGCTTTTAAAGGATAGCTAAAAAATAGATGTCCTTAGATTTGCAGCCTTGGAAACCCTGTACAGGGTCGCTATGAGTTGGAACTGACTCCATGGCACATAACAACAACAGGTGCCTAAAAGTTATAAAGATTTGTAGTAGTGAGTGGCAATACATGCTTTCTACCAATTTCATTTGAAAATATTTAATCCATTTGGAGTGAAAATTAAAATATTTATGAGAACATGGGGGGGGAACAGACTAGGCATAATGGGCAGAAAACTAATTAAGAATGTTGTTGTTATGTGCTGTGGAGTCGGTTCCAACTCATAGTGACCCTGTACAGGGTTTCCGAGGCTGTAAATCTTTACGGGAGCAGAAAGCCTCATCTTTCTC